GACAGAGAATTTTTAAACAGTTGGAATGTGCCATGTGTATGCACTGCTTTTTATATTTATAAAACTATAAACATCTCATCAGATTTTGGTCAAATTCAAATACCTGAACCAAAAAGGACCAAAGGAATGATACAGACTCAGCCTCAGTGTCTAGACAGGAACTGCCTGGCAGAGCTGCAGGGCCAGCAGTTTCAAACAACCATGACAACAAGGCAAACTCAGTTGGCGAGTCTAAGTATTTCCTCCAAACATACAGCTTTTCTCCATTTCTAAACCTTCTAACAGGTTCATTCTAGTTCAACTCCCTACTGATAACTTGTACTTCTACCCCAGATATTTGGAAGACAAGTACATGGTCAACTGACTAAAAAAATCCGTATTTGTGCTCGTTCCAAAGAAAGGTGATCTAACAGAATGTAGAAATGATCAAACAATATCATTAATATCACACACAAGCAACATTTTACTGAAAATAATTCTAAAATGATTGTTAGCAGTACATCAACAAGAAACTGCCAGAAATTCTAGCTGGATTCAAAAGAGGATGTGGAAAGGCGAATATCATTTCTCATGTCAGATGGATCTTGGCTGAAAGCAGGGTATACCAGAAAGATGTTTGCCCATGTTTGATCAACTATGCAAAGGTATTTGACTATGTGGATCATAACAAATTATAGAGAACATTGCAAAGAATGGAAATTCTAGGACACTTCATTGTGCTCATGAGGAACCTATACAGAGGCTAGGAGGCAGCCATTCAAACAGAACAAGGGGATACTGTATGGTTTAAAATCAAGAAATTTGTATCATTTCATCATACTTATTCAATCTGTATGCTGAGCAAATAATCCAAGAACCTGGACTATATGAAGAACAATGCAGCACCAGGATTGGAGGAAGACTCATTAACAACCTGTGAAATGCACATGGCACAACTTTGCTTGCTGAAAGTGAAGGCTTCTTGAAGCACTGACTGATGAAGATTAAAGACTGTAGTCTTCACTGTGGGTTATGCCTCAACATAAAGAAAACAAAAATCCTCACAACTGGACCAAAAAGCAGCATCACAATAAATGGAGAAAAAACTGAAGTTGTCAAGGATTTCATTTTACTTGGATCCACAAACAACACCCATGGAAGCAGCAGTCAAGAAATCAAATGACCCCTGAGGAAATGAGTTGTTGGGACTGTAGTCTCAGGACCATGGGTCTAGGGGACATCAAGCTTAACTGGCACAACATACTACACAAAACATTGTTCTACATCCTACTTTGGTGAGCAGCAACTGGGGTCTTAAAAGCTTGCAAGCAGCCATCTAAGATGCAACAATTGTTCTCTCCTTGTCTGGAGAAAATAAGAATGAAGAAAACCAAAGACACATGGAAACAATTAATCTAAGGGACTAGTGGACCATGCAAACCTCAGCCTACATGATCCTGAGACCAGAAGAACTAGATGGTGACTGGCTACCACTATCAACCACTGGGAAAGGGATCAGGGTAAGAGATCCTGAAAGAATGGGAGAAAAATGTAGAATAAAGCTCAAAATCATATTAAAAAAAAAAAAATCAGGCTTACTGGTCTGATAGAGACTGGTGAAACTATGGCCCTAGTCAACCTTCGGGCCTGGAACTGAACTCATGCCTATCGTTTCCAACCAAATAATAGACAGGCATATAAGGCGAACATTTACACCAGGTAGGGATGCTCCTTTGAACAACTGACCATAGGAGATCAGAAGGGCAGTATTTGCACAAGGAAATAGCTCAGAGGGCAGCAATGTACAGGAAAGAAGGACACAGGGAAAAGGTAACCACAGGGAAGAAGTGGGAAAACAGTGGTTACATTATGGGGATTGTAATCAATGTCATGAAAGAAAATGTGTATGAACTGCCGTACAGAAAATTAATTTATTCTGTAAACTTTCACCCAAATCACAATAATAAAATAACAAATCAAATGATATACTGCATTTGCATTGGGCAAATCTGCTGCAAAAGACCCCTTTAAATGTTAAAGAGCAAAAATACTACTGTGGAGACTATGGTGCACCTGACTCAAGCCATGGTATTTTGAATCACCCCATCTGCATGTGAAAGCTAGACAATGAATAAGGAAGACGGAAGAATAGTTGCATCTGAATTATGATGTTGGCAAAATATTATAAATATACCTTGCACTTCCAGAAGAAAAGGAGCTCTGGTGGTGTAGTGCCTAAGGCATCTGACTGTTAACCAGAAGGCTGAGAGTTCAAACGCACCAGCCACTTCTCAGATGGAAGGTTGGGCAATCTACTTCCATAGTGATACCGCCTCAGAAACCCAAGGGGAGGGTCACTATGAGTCGGGTCTGACTCGAAGGCATTGAGTTTATTTTCTGTTTTTTTTTTGCTTTGTTTTTTTTTTTTTTTTTGGCCAGGAGAAAGAACAAACCTGTCTTGGAAGAAGTACAGCAAGATGCTCTTTAGAAGTGAGGACAGCAAGACTTTGCTTCTCATGTTGTCAGGAGGGACAAATCTTTGGAGAAGGATATCATGCTAGGTAAAGTGGATAGTCAGAGAAAAAGAGGAAGACCCTCAGTGAGATGGATTGACACAGTGACTACAGCAATGGGCTCACGCATAGCAACAATTGTGAGGATAACGCAGGATGCGGCAATGGTTCTTCTGTTGTACATAATGTTGCCATGTGTTGGAATTGACTTGACAGCACCTGTTCGTTTAGTTGTACATATGGTTGCTACATGTTGGAACGAGCTGATAGTATCTAAAAACAATATAACAAGCCCAGACATACTGAAACAAAATCTATTATTCTTATAAATCCCCAGATGCCCCAGGTGATTCTTATATATGTATAAAATCTGGGAACTTGTTACAATGTAGATTCTGATTCAGTATATCTGGAGTGGAAATGGCTATTCATAGCAGGGTTCAAACAAAAATGAACTGGTTTGAAGCCCTGGAGAAGACTGGGCTGGCTTGCTGAGAAATGGCTGGATAAATATCAGTCTTCAAAAAATATAAAAATCCACTGATAAACTTCCTGCTTTCACCTGTCATAGTTCCACTAAGGAGCTCTGGTGGTACAAAGGTTAAATGTTCAGCTATAGTGTCACCATTAGTCAGAATCAACTTGATGGTAATGGGTTAACTAAACGAAAGGTTGACAGTTCAAATCCACGCAGCCACTCCCCTAGGAGGAAGACTTGGCAATCTACTTTTGTAAAGATTACAGCCCAGAAAACCCTATGAAGTGGTTCTACTATGACACATGGAGTCATTGTAAGTCAAAGTCTACTTGACAGCTCCTAATACCATAGTTCAGATGTTTCTGAAAGGACACAATGGAGACACAATGGAGTGCAGGGATCTTGTATAAACTCTGAGCTGAAAGGAAGTCTTCTGAAAATGAAGTAAGTCAGAGAATGTCAGGCATTTGTACTACTACTAATAACATCTCCAGCTGATGTTTTGGCTAAAGAAATTATGTTCTTATTTTCTAGATGTTTTATTGATTTCTCTTGTACTATTCCATTTTTAGCCTCATTAATAGCAGCAGAAAGAACAACCCATAACAGGCATCAGTCAGACCCACATAGTGCAGGATGTGGGTAAGGAGCTGTCCCTCTCCACCAGCTCTGCACCAGCACAAGAACTCTGCAGTGGGTGGGCAAAAATTGGGGCATCTCACCACACCAGGAACCTACACAGGGACAGGACAAGGGCTCAACAGGTGCAGGAATTTTAGGAGACTAAAATTACCCACTTAATATCTTTACAAATAAAATTTATTAAGAAAGTAAAATTCTCCCAGCTTTAGTGACTAGGAAATATGCCAGAATTTAAAGAGCATTGGGAATCCTTAGACTAAGCAGAAAAAAGAAGCAACAAACACTTCACTTCACCACAAAGCATTCAGTAACTAAATCAATAGTGCCTGCCAGCTTACAAGAGCATCAGTTTTTGTTTTTGCCTGAGAGTTGGTTGTCTGATGGTCATGCTTTTCTGGGATGCTTTACCTGACAGAGGAGCTAAAGGGCTTTTTATACCCTATAGCAGACCTCAGGAGCTCTGGTGGCACAGTGGCTAAGGCATTTGACTGCAAACCAGAAGGTTGGTGGTCAAACCCACCAGCCCCTCCATGGAAGGAAGATGGGGCAATCAACTTCTGTAAAGATTTATGGCCTTAGAAACCCAATGGGGGCCTGACTTAATTTATCCCTAACACCTCCCATCCCAATTCATCTGGCTGGCCACTACCAAAATAAAGTGGAATACTGAGATGGTGAAGTAGCTCTGGTGGCACAATGGTTAAGTACTCGGCTGCTAATGAAAAGGTTGGTGGTTTGAATCCCCCAGCAGCACCAAGGAAGAAAGACCTGGCAATCTGCTCCTGTAAAGATTACAGCCTAGAAAACCATATTGGGCAGTTCTACTCTGTTACATGAGTCAAAACCCATTCAACAGCACCTAACAACTGAGATGCTGAACCAAGTGGCTGAGAGCTCTTCTCTTTTCCCCCATGACTTTAAGATTTCCACATTTTCCGACCTAATATCCATTAGGGCTATATCAGTACTATGACTGGCAGCAGGAGGGAGTATTGAGCAGAAGGGAAGGGGGATAGGGCACATGAAAGGGAAAGGAGGACTGTGTTGTTTTAAAAGGTCCATGCCAACTGGGTGATTTTGATGTCACCTCACACCCTTTAAGAAACAGCATTCCCATTCCCTGGGAGAGCTCCTGAGTCATGTTGTACAGGGTAGGTCAGGTGGGAAGTAGCCTCCACCCTCAGAGTATCTGCTAATAAATAGTTCCAGTGGGGCCAAAATAAATTTATGAGACGACAACAATACAGACTGCCAACTATTAACCTTTACTCTAAATGGACTGGAAGGGTGTGTGCTTAAACAGAAAATGAAAGGCTAGTTTCTATACATAGGCTCTTGTTTTCACATTAGCAATAGTATAACAACATTTAAAAAGAAAGAAAACTTACCTGAAGGAAGAAATGATTGCTGTAAATTCATCATCTGGATAAAACTGAGTAATCGCATGATGTGCCCCAAGCAATTCCTTCCCATCTTTCCACCAAGAAATAACTTCAGTGTCCTGGTATATATTAGGTATATTAATTGAGCAATTAAATTTGACATCTTTGTGTTCAGAAAGTATTATGTGTCCAACTGTGTGATTAAATGCAAGAGGCAGATGGAACTTTGACCCAGCAGAGGTTATCTTGGAAACGTCTGAATTTCCTGTATGTGGTTTTTCAGGCTGGGCTGGTGAAAATATCAAGGCTGGTGGGTACCCAATGGTTTGAGGAAAGGAAAATGATGCGGGATCAGCTTGCAGACTCCTTGGGAAACGTCCTGGGAATGACATGTAGGGCTTGGTTTCTTCCCTCATCTCAGTGATAGCTGCAAAACAGAACACCCAACTTTTAGCCTTTTAAATAATGGAGAAATTTTCCAAGTAGGTCCCCAAATTGTTAGGCCATGATCTGCGAAAAGAGTCGTTAATGCCCTCAGAAAACATATCCATTGCTGAGTTGATTCCAACTCACAGAGACCCTAAAGGACAGAGTAGAACTGCCCCACAGGGTTTCCAAGATTATAATTTCTATGGAAACAGACCGTCACATCTTTCTCCCACAGAGCAGCTGGTGTGTTCAAACTGCTGACCTTCAAGTAGCAGCTAAGTGCCTAAACACTGGACATACCAGTATAATTTCTATGGAAACAGACTGTCACATCTTTCTCCCACAGAGCAGCTGGTGTGTTCAAACTGCTGACCTTCAAGTTAGCAGCTAAGTGCCTAAACACTGGACATACCAGGACTCCTTCTCAGACAACATGAGCAATATTTATTTAATACACACGTCTGGACATACACTCTCATTAACTAGTCCATTTTATTTTCATCTGCCTTCTTCTAAAGAGTGTTCAAAAGAAATACAACTTCCAAACTGTTGTGGGTTTATTTTATATTTTAAAATGGTGATTCATTCCAAGTCCTTCAACCTCAATTTAGCAGCATAAAAAGGAGATGACAGCACAGGAGAACTCGAGATCACTTTTCTCACTGCTGGGCCACCGATGACGCTGCAAACATGGCCAACAGTCTTTCAAAGGCTGCTGTGGGTCACAAAGAGAAGAATGTACTATTTTTTGTGCCTCCTCATCACCCACTCCTAGCTATGGGGAAAAGGAGCCCCAGTGGTGCAAATAGTTCTGTACAATGCTGCTACCCAAAAGGCTGGCAGTTCAAACCCACCCAGTGGCTCTCCAGGAAAAGGATCTGTCAATCAATCTGTTCCGGTAACAATTACAGCCTAGAAAACCCTATGGGGTAGATCTACTCTGCCACATGGAGTCATTATGAGTCAAATATAACTCAATAGCAACTAACAACAGCAACAGCTATGGGGGAAAAAAAATCAAAGTGTACCTATGTTACAGTCTAGAGAATGACTTGAGTACATTACGGAGCTGAGGTGGCGTAGTAGATAAGGCACTTGACCACTAACCGGAAGGTCAGTGGTTCAAACCACCAGCTACTCTGTGGAAGGAAGACAGGGTGAACTACTTCCGTAAAGATTTACAGCCTTGGAAACCCAATGGGGGTTGCTATGAGTCAATTAGGAACTCTGGTGGTGCAGTGCCTAAGGCATTTGACTGCTAACCAGAAGGCTGGTGGTTCAAACCCACCAGCCATTCCTTGGAAGGAAGGTTGATCTACTTCCGTAATGATACTGCCTCAGAAAGCCAAGGATGGGTTGCCATGAGTCAGATCCGACTCCACGGCAGTGTGTTTATTATGAGTCAATTGTCTGCAAATATTGTATAGTACCTCCTGGGTTCAAGATTTGGAGAGACAGCCTAAAGGCATAAAGACAGGCTCAGGGTTGCAAGGTTAAAGAGGAGACAGGACCTGGTTAACTAGGGGTAGGGAGGGAAGCTTTCTTTGCCCCACAAGTTAGCACCCTCAGTTTAGGCACAGTACCCTTACCTTTTGTAACACCCCTTGTGATTACTCATTTGGTTCTTTGTCTGCTGCTGGACTGAAAGTCCTCTGAGACCTAGCACCTAGTTACAACCAGTACACAGTACAACTAGGTTGTTGAATGAATCAAAAAAGGTAATGACGACTTTGAGGAGAGAGAGGAAGAACAGGTAAGGTTTCAGGGGGCTAAGGTTGCTGGAATTGGAAAGAAAGTGGCCTTAATAATTTAGGAAAACCAACTAAGCGGTGGGATAGAGATCCTATGGTAGGACAAAAAAGAGAGATGAACTGGAAAGCTCCATTAAGCTGGATGAGTGTTGCATGAAGTGGTGAGTTCTGAATCTCAGCTAAGGTAATAGGAAGTTCTGAAAGGTTTATAAGGGGCAGGAGAGATGGGATCAGAGTGCTGCTTGAAGAAGGGCATTCTGGCTGAGGAAGAAGGAGAGTAGCCAGAAATTGAAAAGTATACAGCAGACAGCAGAGAAGGGGCCAACAACAACAGTGTCCTTACTACAGTCATCATTTCACTAAAGAAAGATTATCCTAACACTAAATATTTAGGAAGGACATAATCTTGGAATGAAGGATAGTTCTCAGGAGTGAACAATTGGTGGTCTCATACTGACTTTTGCATGAAGAATGCAGGTCATGAGAGTTGCATGAAAAGATTTAAGATTCAGTTTCCTCATAAGGAAGATGAAGATAGAAATAGTGGTGTCCCATAGGATTACAGTGGTTACAACTCTTTAAAGCTGTAAAGACATAAAGAAGCAAAGACATCACTTTGAAGACTAAGGCACACCTAACCCAAGTCATGGTATTTTCAATCTTCTCATATGCAAGTGAAAGCTGGACAACGAATAAGGAAGAATGAAGAAAAGTTGATGCCTTTGAATTAGAGTCTTGGCAAAGAATATTGAAATACCATGGACTGCCAGAAGAAAGAACGAATCTGCATGGAAGAAGTGCAGCCAGAATGTTCCTTAGAAGCGAGAACGACAAGACTTCATTTCACCTACTTTGGTCATGTTGTCAGAAGGGACCATTCCCTAGAGAAGCATATCATGCTTGGTAAAATGGAGGGTCAGCAAAAAAGAGGAAGACCCTTAACGAGATAGATTGACACAGTAGCTACAGTGATGGGCTCAAGCATAGCAACGACTGTGAGGATGGCACAGGAGCAGGCGGTGTTTCATTCTGTTGTACACAGGGTCGCTATGAGTCGGGGATGACTTCACAACACCTAACAACAACACAGGGTTACTGTTAGGAATAAAGAAATTATTACTATATCTGGCTCACAGCAAGCACTCAGTAAAACCAAACAATTGGCATCTCTGTCAGAGCAAAACTCTTTTCCATGAGGTTTTCAATGGCTGGTTTTTCAGAAGTAGATCTCCAAGCCTTTCTTCCAAGGTGCTTCTGCGTGGACTCAGACCTCCAGCTTTTCACTTAGCAGCTGAGCACATTAACCATTTGTTAACCACCCAGGGACAAGCACCCAATAAATGTTAGCTATTATTATTTTTACTGTATTTTCATTTTATTGTAAATCAGTAAAAACTTGCCATGGTCCAAAATCTGAGAGCCACTGATTAACAGGAGATGACACTGAAGGCTGTGGCCCCTCACACATGATTGGTAAGGTTGTATAATTCCAGGGTGGGATGCTGCCATTCATATGGTCATCCGTGTAAATGGTGCTCTGGAGCTACACAATACATAACCTCACCAACCATGAGTGGTACCCTAACTAATCATGGAGAACATGGGGAAAAGCAAAAGTAAAACCATTGTAAGGTTCTGAACCCAAGGGTCAGGGAAGAGATGAATTAAAAATTATGTATTAAGCTAATCTTTTTTTTTTCTTTAACAATTTTGACTAGTTGTATAATGTCCTTTTTTTCCTATAGAAATGGAATACTTTCAAAATTATTTAATTTTTCTGGTAGAAAATGGTGGGAGAAAGGAGTCCTGATGGCCCAACGGTTAAGCACCCATCTGCTAACTGGAAGGTTATGGTTCAAACCCACCCAGTGGCAATATGGGAGAAATAGCTAGTGATTTGCTTCTGTAATGGTTGTAGCCTAGGGGAATCCTATGGTACAGTTCTACGCTGTCATATAGGGTGGCTATGAGTTAGACTCTACTTGAGGCAACCTAGCAACAACAATGGTAGGAGGATGAGATCAGATCAAGAAAGTTTGCTTGTACAGTAGAACTGTCATTAAGGGACTTCCAGTAAGATGGAGGGATAGACAGACAAGCGACACAGACTCTCTTCAACAAAGAAAAGAGAAACCAATTGACAAAGACAAAGAAGATAATCCTGGAGCCCTGAGCTTTGAAAGGAACTATACAGAAGTGGATTAGGCACCAACTAGTGGAAAAACCTGAACAAAAACAATGAGGAGAGATACGGAAACCTGAACAAAAACAGTAAGTACAGAGACGGTCAGAGCTGTGGACTGTCAGCTACTCTAATGGGACCAACAGCCTGAATATTTCCAAGTGGTACTGGGACCTGAGAATTGACCTAAAGATCAGCCCTGGTCACCAAGGGCTGCAGGGATGACTGTGCTGATGGCCTATGACTAGGAAGGGAAACAGCAAGGAGGGAGATAACCTGAGCTGTTGACTTTCCACTGTCCGGAGGGCACAGCCATTTTGATA